TAAAGATATTGATGAAGCTGAAAATTTGGCTGTTCGCTTTGAAACACATCGATTGGCAGACAAGCAGAGGGGCAGACAAGTTCGGAAAATAGGTCTTGACAAGGACAACAAAAATGTTGAAGTCCAAGATGAGAAGACAGAAACAGTGAGAAAATTAGAACAGAAAGTTAAGGAACTAAGTGATTGGAAAGAAAAAGAGGAGACAAGAGAAAGGAAAAACAGTTACAGAAACCAGGGACAACAAAACAGAAATCCTTATCAAGGACAACAGAGTAACCAGTACCGAGGGCCATCACACCCAAGGGGCAATAACTCTGGATATGGAAATAACTCTTAGAAATCAATATAACTGGCAGAACAGGGGAGATAACCACAGACAACACGACCAGGGAAACGGAGTTGGGCCGAGTTCAGAGGCCACAACTCGGCAACAGATAAACCCAGGCCCCAAACACAACTAGAACATAGATTTATGGTGTACACTGCTAACGATGAAGGGTATTTTGTGGCAGCTAAAGTACAGGGTATCCCAATAACAATGTTGGTAGATACAGGTTCAAATGTAAATACACTTAAAAGCAGTATTGTAGAGAGTTGGCCAGAATTTTTGCAACCTGAGGTGGAACCAGTAAAACAAACAATGCTGACTGTAACAGGAGAAAAAGTTCCATTTCATGGGAAGGCAAAGGTGAATATTTCTATAGGATTGCATACTTTTCAACATGAAGTATACCTAGCTGATATACAGGGTGATGGAATTTTAGGGGTGGACTTTTTGTCTGTAGCAGAGTGTGATATACTGTTTAGTAAGGACTGTTTACTACTGAAGGGTGAAAAAGTGCCTTGTTGCATGAATTTAAGAAGTATTACACCAAGCTGCTGTAGGATTACAATGTTGGAAAATGTGGTAATACCACCCAGAACTGAGATGATTGTTGCTGGGGTGCCAATAGATGGAGTAGCCAAGGGGACAGGTATAATAGAACCTGTAACTCAGTTTGTAGCAAAGAGTGGTTGTTTGGTTGGCAGAGCAATAGTAGATCCTAAGAATGGCCTTGTACCTCTTAGGATAGCTAATGTAGGTACTGAGCCATATACTATATTTAAGGATACAGTAACAGCTACTTATGAACCTGTAAATCTTCCTGAAGAGAGAGAGAATAGACAGACTGATGGAAGCTTGAAAGATGAGAGAGATATACCTGAACACCTGAAAGATCTGTATGAAAGAAGTTCTAAGAATTTGTCTTTTAAACAGAAAGACAGCTTGAAGGAAATACTGATCCAGTACCAAAATGTTTTCTCAAAGAGCTCTGGAGATATTGGGCGAACAAATTTAGTGGAGCATAGAATAGACACAGGAGATGCGAGACCGGTGAAACTACATCCCTACAGGATTCCATTAGCTAAGCGATTGCAGGCAGAAAATGAAATCAAGGAAATGGCAGACAAGGGCATCATAGAGCCATCTGAAAGTCCATGGTGTTCACCAATTATAATGGTTCCTAAAGCTGAGGGGATCAGATTTTGTTGTGATTTTAGAAAACTGAACCAACTTACACGCAAAGATTCCAAGCCACTTCCACGTATTGATGACACGCTAGATGCACTTTCTGGAGCAGAGTGGTTTAGTACACTTGATCTGAAGTCCGGTTTTTGGCAAGTAGGTCTTGCTAAGGAGGATAGGGAAAAGACCGCCTTCTCTATTGGCAGTGACTTGTGGCAGTATACAGTCATGGCCTTTGGTCTATGTAATAGTCCAAGTACATTTGAGAGGCTTATTGAAAGGGTGTTGCTTGGGTTAACTTGGAAACTGTGTCTAGTGTATCTAGACGATATAATAATATTTTCCAAGACATATGAAGAGCATCTGGTAAACCTTGGTGAAGTTCTCCAGAGACTTGGGAAGGCAGACTTAAGACTGAGTCCAAAGAAATGTAATTTGTTACAAGAACAGGTTACCTTTTTGGGGCATATTGTAAACAAATCTGGAGTAGCTACTGACCCAGAAAAGGTCAAGTCAGTTGTAACAAAAATGTGAAGGAGGTGAGGAGTTTTTTAGGACTTTGCTCCTACTATAGGAAATCTGTACACCAGTTTGCTAACATAGCCAAACCCCTACACCGGTTGACAGAGAAAGATCGTATATTCCAATGGACTCCTGAATGCCAAGGAGCTTTTGAGACTGTAAAGGAGAGCATGACAAAATCTCCAATTCTTTCATATCCTCAACAAGAGGGTTTATTTGTCCTTGACACTGATGCTAGTGCCACAGGCATGGGAGCAGTACTCTCACAATTACAAGATGGGGTAGAAAAGGTGATTTGCTATTTTAGCAAATGTTTCTCAAAAGCAGAGAGGCATTATTGTGTAACTAGGAGAGAACTGTTAGCTGTTGTCAGTGCCATTAAACATTTTCACCATTATTTATATGGGAGAAAATTTCTTGTGAGGAGTGATCATGGGGAACTGAGGTGGCTGCTTAACTTCAAAATACCTGAAGGGCAAATGGCTAGGTGGCTGGAAACTTTGGCTGCTTATGACTTTTCTATTGAACACAATGCAGGACGCATCCACTCTAATGCAGATGCACTGTCCCGAAGACCATGTGAGGGAAGTGAATGTACCTATTGTAGGAGAGCAGAAACAAAAATGCGAGAGCATGGAACAGGGAGGGGGCAAGACTTGCGGAACAGTTGAAACTGATATACAGACACTCGCAGTTAGCACAAATATTTCAACTAAAGATAGTAAGGAAAATGAGGAAATGTATTATTGTGGGGTCATAGAAATTGACAAAGAGTTATTAATAAAGGACGATGAGGGCAAGGATATTAAATTACTGCAATCCCTAATGAGGATTATACTTACAGAGTTATTGTTTGGCAAGAACTCAGGAAAATTTCCCAGTGTTGCCAATAGTGTTGAGGCAGTGCAAGCCGACACTTGTAGTGATGATGTAGCAGTTGAAGATGGTATTAGAGGTCTTGTTTCCTCAGTTTCCCGCAAAAGTTCCCCTGCTTTGTTAGGTGGTAAGGTGCAACCAGAAGTTAAGTCGATGCCAGTTCAATTAGAGTGGGTGGAACAGGAGGTTTCTGCAGACACATGGTGTGACAAAGTTCAATGTGGTGCTCCAAAGGTTAAGATGAGACAGGTCAAGTCAGTGTCATTAGTTCAGCCTCATTCTGAAAAAGTTTCCTCCGACACACTGAGCGACAAGGATCACAGTGGTGCTCCAAAGGTGAAGATGAGACAGGTCCAGGCAGCATTGAGTGTTCATTCTGAAAGTAAAGAGAACAAGATTGAATAGCTTGCAGGACAAAATTTAGCAACTGAAGACTTGGAGATAGAAGACTTAGACCAAGAGAAAGTAAAGAAGCTACAAAGGGCAGAAGAAGTTTTGGATTTGGTTATTCATTGGAAATTGTCAGGTACCAAGCCTGTATGGGCTGATGTATCAAAATATGGAGAAGTAGTTAAGTACTACTGGTACCGTTGGAGTCTGTTTGAGTTACACGATGGAATATTGTACAACAGAAGAGTAAGTGATGATGGAAAGGATTGTCGTTTACTTACAGTCATACCTGCATCACTAAGGAAATTAGTCCTAGAACAGTTGCATGACAGTCGCACTGGAGGACATCTTGGTGATTCTTTTGGCCACATATGTCCAAGTACGTAGAAAACTGGTGTTCAACCTGCGATATATGTGCTTCAAGGAAAATGCCAACAAAACGGCCTCGAGCACCTATGAAGCAGTACAATGTTGGTGTACCTATGGAACGTATTGCTGTTGACATAATGGGTCCTTTACCAAGGTCAAGGAGAGGAAACATGTACCTCATGGTTGTAGGCGACTACTTTTCAAAATGGGTTGAGGCCTATCCGATTCGGAATCAGGAAGCAGAAACAGTAGCTAGCAAGCTAGTGGAACGTTTTATAGCAGTATTTGGGGTTCCATTACTAATCCATACTGACCAGGGTTCAAACTTTGAGTCAAAGTTGTTTCAAGGGACTTGTAAACTTTTAGGGATGGAGAAAACTCGAACTAAAGCTATGAGACCACAGTCAGACGGAATGGTGGAGAGAGCGAACAGAATCATTGCCACACTGATCTCATCTTTTGTTTCAAGTCATCAGAGGGATTGGGATGAATATGTACCTCTGTTGATGTTGGCGTACAGGTCGTCAGTTCATGCATCCACTGGAGTTTCTCCCTCTAAGATGATGTTTGGTCGTGGAGTCAAACTCCCCATAGACATCATGTTAGGAAGACCTGGAAAACACAAGAGTACATCAGAAACTAAATATGTATATAACCTGGAGCAAACATTGCTGGACATCCATGATTTGGCAAGAAAGAAGCTTACACTGGCCAGTGATGTCATGAAAAAGAAATATGATCATCGCATAGTACAGAACCACTTTGAGATAGGAGAGCTGGTTTGGTACTTCAAACCAAAGCAACCAGGCAACAAACCAAAATTTCAACGATCCTGGGTGGGTCCTTTTCTATCTTAGACAGAGTGGGCGATATCTTTTATCGAATTAAACCTGGGACTCGGGCAAAGCTGATACTTGTTCATCATGATAGATTAAAGAAATATAGGAGTCGTAAGTGCTGAGCTTGAAAGGAATCATGAAATATATCGTGGATATTGTTCCAGTGCACATTAGCTGTTAATTAGAGTCGGACATTACACTTGCTATGTCGAATAAAAATTGAATACGGAGCAGAGAGTAGACACTCATGCTTACATTTTCCTTCACTTCAGATGGAATATCAGTGCTTGCTGTGCGGGGACATTAAGTTCAGCAGCAGATATGGAGTGGTGCGCCATCTGGAGGAGAAGCACTCAGGTTTCCGCTGGGAGTGCCAGCAGTGTTCGAAACTTTTCCCCCGCCAGGCCAATGGGACGCACAATGACCCCAAGGGTGAAGTGTGCAAGGGCACAGTGTTTTTGTGTATGGGTCCGGATGGCAGCAGAGGTAGTGCTGCCCGTAATCAGCTTGACAACTGGCGGAGGACGGCTCTGCCAAGTCTGTGGAAGTCGACGCCAGCTAAGGGTCAGAGGAAGCGACGTCCCTCCAGGAGAGAGTCACCCCCTCACAAGAGGGCAAAGCCAGAGGTTGTCACTGATGTGTCTCCAGCAAGGTCATTTACATCCTTACCCCCCTCGCCAAAAGTTTCCTTGGGTGCAGCTTCTCCGTCGCGTTCTAGATCACCGTCTCCAAAGAAGACTGCAAGGAAGGTCATGTCAAGGGCAGTTATTTCGTACACATCATCATCATCATCTTCTGAGTCATCGGATAACAGGTCACCGTCACCAATCCGTACAGTGTTTAGCGAGACAATCCTGCCCCCTGTAACGCCTCCTGTGACACCCAAAAAGACGCCACCCTCTACACCTCCCTCTAAGAAGACTGTAGTTCTCTCTCTAGGAGCGGCTAGGACATCAGTAATCAAAGCTCTTCCTGATGTGACCCCCCATCTGACCTAAAGGAGAAGCTGAGCATGGTACCAACATCGCTTTCTGTCGGCACTGATGATTTGTTGAAGCTACAGGAGGCTCAGGAAACACAACTTGTGTTGAATATTGGTGGGAGTGATTTCCGTACTACCAGATCAACTTTGCTGAAGGACCCCCAGTCAAAGCTTGCACGTATGGTATCAAAGGATTCGCCAGTCAGACCTGACAAGGGTGGAAAGTATTTTCTTGACAGAGATTCTCATCATTTTAGATTTATTTTAAATTATCGGAATAACTGCATATTAAATCCACGCCTATTGCCAAAGGACATCAGGTACCTTAATGAAATGCTACTGGAAGCAGAATTTTATAATTTGGAAGGACTGGTGAGGATAATTCACACCCGCTTGCTAGCTTTATATGCCTTGGAATAACTTTGGAAACATATTAAGGGGGGGTGGACATAAAAAGAAGTTATTTGGTACTACTTGAAGAGTGCAGCAGTGTTCCTGTGTAGTCATGTTCCTGTGTAGTCCTGTTCCAGTGTAGCAGTGTACCAGTGTAGCAGTGTTCCAGTAATGTGTTCCCATGTAGCAGGTTCCTGTGTTTCCATGTCAGTGTTCCTATGTAGCAGTGCTTTTAATAACATGTTCCTGTGAAGCAGTGTTCCAGTAATGTGTTCCCATGTAGCAGGTTCCTGTGTTTCCATGTCAGTGTTCCTGTGTAGCAGTGTTTTTAATAACATGTTCCTGTGAAGCAGTGTTCCAGTAATGTGTTCCCATGTAGCAGGTTCCTGTGTTCCAGTAAAGTGTGCCTATGTTGCAGTGTTTTTAATAACATGTTCCAGTGTAGCAGTGTTCCATGTCAGTGTTGTTCCAGTAATGGGTTCCTGTGTAGCAGTGTTCCTATGTTGCAGTGTGCTAGCAACATGTTCCTGTGTTCCCATGTTTGTTGTTGTATAAAGCTGCAGTGTTCCTTTACTTGTACCAGTGTACCTATGTACTATGCCAAAGTGGAAATATTCAGTATTATCCCATCTTATATTCCTGCTGATGATGAAGAGGATTCTACATGGATTCCGTGAGCGACGCTTGTGTGGACAATATCACATTTATGCGATGAAAAGTTCTGAAAAGACAAAAAAAAGTGACAGTTTAATATTTTTAATTGAACAAAGTTCAAGGAAATTGATAATTTGTATTTGTATTATGTACTTATTGAGTAGGCCTTAGATATATACAGTGATTATGCTACCAAAGCTGATTTGTTTCAGTCATTGACATAAATATTAACAAAGTTAATTATCAAAGCATGTTTTAGACTTAATGATAACTGAAATCAATTGTCAAGTAGAGTCAATGTGTGGAATAATCACTGTCAATGTTGCCTGACTGGATATGTTAATATGATAACTACCAGTATGTAATGTATATATGTTTACATCAGTGCTAATCGCAATAGTATGGTATGGTTACAATTATGAATATGCTATGAATGCTTTTTTAGAAATTAATACTGCAAACAGCAGAAAATTCTGTATTTGATAAGCTTGTCTTAGCTTTTATATTTCTAGAATGTTAAAGCAGAAACATCAGGAATTAACTTAATAGAGCTTAAACTCTAAAGTTTTGCAGTGTGAAAATTGACATATTGATTTGACAGAAAGAAATTAAATCAATTTAATGTAAAAAGAAAATAAGTTATATTGTTTGGAGTCAAAAGATAAGCACTTTGTGTTAATTCAGGCCACACCATTGTGTTATGCCTTACAAGTTACAAGTATAAACTACATGTATTTTTATTTCTGTGTTAAAGCAATTTGTATAATCTTTGAAGATAGAATACACACAAATTTAGAAGCAAAAGAAAAATTATATTTACCTGATTCTGTTTACATGTTTAAAAAATGCACCTGGTATCATGGTAAAGTTTACTTCAATTTCTTCAGAACTGAAAACCAAAATATGTACAAGTTAAAATCTTTGCTTGTGCTGTTCAAAATTTGAATTATTATTAGACAGAGTGAGCTGCAGACTTGTGTGAAGTTACAATTTCAATCAAATAATGTACATAATTATGCATTCAATGTTTGTTGTTTAATGTATTGTCATTTGCTATGACAATGTTAACTTTAGATTAACTTTTAAGAGTTGGGAACTATTTTTGTTTTCCCTTTCTTCTCAAACTTCAGTTACAGTTGATATTATATAATTAGGATAAATGAATTATAAAATTCTCTTGGAAATAATCATTATATATTTTATGGATAATTTCTTTCAAAGATAATAGATACAATTTGCCAGTGTTACTTACTGATAATTTTTGGATGAAAAATAATATATCATTATACCAACCTTTATTGTAGACAGAAGAGAAGTTGTTTGGGGTCCAAACATGTTTGTAGGAGGGGGCAATGTTATGCCGGTTGGCCTATTATCAAAGTAATTTGTGTGATCATGTCTTGTACATGTAGTTAGAAAGTGACAGTATTATTGTTCCATTATTGTACACGAATTTCACATTGAATACTTTGAGATTGTTATATTTTATGAGATTGTGTCATTCTATATGTATGCTATTTTAAATCTTAATGTGAGATGTTGTTGAAGTGTGTAATTACCAAGATTCGTATGCTGAAAGCTTACACAGTCCGATATGAACACCGAAATCTGTACTGTTATTGATACAGGAATTTCGTCTGTAAATTATCTCATATTGTTGTATTTCATCAAATTGTAACATGATACAAGTATTCCATCCAAATAAGACCGTAGTATTGTGTTGTGAGTCTGTAAATTAACGATATAACTGTTTAAATGCGAGGTGAAGACTGCATATTGAACCAATGTGTATGAGCAGACGACAAGTCCACCGCCAGGTGTAATCTGTATTTTTACGGGAAACACACGTTTATACTCAAAACGATTGTTCAGCGTGGTGAGATAACATTATACCTGTCATGTGTATTCCATTTAATCATACTGTCTGAACTTTTATAGTCCATTAGAGTAGAAAGTTTGTCTCCGACATAGCGGTTCGTCTTCTACGGCAGCCATATTTGTTTATCTTTTCGGTAACACTCGGTAGTCATCCACATAGTATTTACTCGGATCTCTCGGACTTTATTCACTTAGTATATTAAACGCGGGAGATCTCTCGTGTAAGTCATTTCAAGCAATATGATTGGCTAACACTTTCTATAAATTAAGAGCCGGGAGATTCGAAGGCTTAGTGTCATTTTGACCTCAGAAGCGAAAGCAGGCAAAGCGGAGAAACCAGGCTAAAGCAGGCAGCTGACTTTGATACATTTTGAGTAGCAGAGATGGAGAATGAGCAGAGAGCCGGTGTTAAGGTATTAAGAGAGAAATACTAGGAGATCACTATGATAATTAGAATATGTAACAGTAATATTAGGAGATAGGTGAGGAGAAAAGTACTAGGAGGTCATTATGAGATTATTAGGAGTAAAGGAGACATGTACTAGGAAAATGTGCTAGGTGCAATTTAGGAGAAATGTACAAGGTGCAATTTAGGAGAAATGTACTAGGTGCAATTTAGGAGAAATGTACAAGGTGCAATTTAGGAGAAATGTACTAGGTGCAATTTAGGAGAAATGTACTAGGAGCAAATTAGGATAAATGTACTAGGTGCAATTTAGGAGAAATATACTAGGAGCAATTTAAGAGAAATATATTAGGAGCAAAAATACTATGTGCAGCTAAATAGTTAAGTAAGATCATCTGTAACAACAGAAATGAGGTAGCTTCTGTCTGAAGCATACATTAAAGACATATAACTATTTTGTTCATATTCAACAACCTGCTAATTTATTCATAATCACATTGTCAATTAGTCAAAGGGAGACAACTCATCTCAACTTTGTACAGGTAACCTCTCAGGCTGCTGTGGGTTGTACTTTTATATTGTTTACTTGTCACTTAAATGTCTACAAATAAATTTCCACTTTAACTTGATTACTTTGTTGAGTCATTCTTGAAGAGTTTGCCACAAGCCAACAACCAGACGGATCTGTTTATAAATTATACAATGCATCGTCAGGAAAGATACTCGGCCAGACGGCAGACTGCTTAGAGTCTTGAGTACCTGACGATCGGGCATTGCAATATCAATAACACATCCACACGAAATTGTCAATTTTTTAGCCGACAACCTCTTGACAGACGAAGGCTGTGGACAGGTTCACTTCCATCAAATCTTTTATTTATTACAATGTAGCATAAAGCTGATGTCAACATGTTTTTTAATACTCACCCGATCCTTAACTAAGCCTCCAAAACTTTTCATTAATTATTTTAAGTTTCGGAAAACCTTTGCATCTTATTTCTTATCCACAACTTAATTATTTCTTCAGCATAGCCCCCCTCCCCCAACCGAAGTCGTCGTAAGCGTGGATATTCAGATAAAGTGTTTTTCTCCTGCCCACACACCTCCAATAACCCAGGTGGAGTATACATTGGTCTGGGGTGGATGTTGTGATATCTGTTCTGTAGCATTTAAGTGAGGTGGCACTATAAATGATGCCATTGGAAGCACGGTTCCACTACAAACAAAACACATAACATCTCCAGCACGTAGGCATACACACATAGTGAGATATTAGCCAGGTGGCATAAGACTAGTAATTAGCGCCTGATAAGGCAGCTCATGCGAATTCCTCAAAAATTGTATTAATTAATGTATATGCTAACTTTATTAATTGTATATTTATGTACTGTAAACGGTTTTAGAGTGGCTTATGTTAGCTAGATATGGCGCTATATCAAATGCTGTATATGATTATGATTATTATTGTTACTTGATATGTAACAAAAATTGGCAACTCACTAGCAAGCGATTCGACAAACGTGTCGAAATAAATAACTTCTGCTTTTTTGGGTTATAATTATAAAATATTAAAGTAGCCATGTCACCCTATCATAGGATGTTTAACGGAATTAATATGTCCAGGGGAGATATGACGCATGCTTGGTGCATATAATTTGGCCCGGGAAATAACCTATGCACAGCTAGCAGTATTGCACATAGAAGATAACCTAAATCACAAACAAGTGTCTGATAAAAGGTGTTTCTTGTTGACCAATAAGCTCGTAATCAGGACCCCTATTCATTAGTTCTGAGTTTGTGCTCAAACCTTATTTCTTCTACTGGTTATGAATTGATAAACAAATCTTAAATTGTCAATTATTTAGAAAACGTTTGAAGAGACTAAAACCCAAATACTGTTTCCAATGTTTACATTTGACTTTTTGATGGTTTGACATGATCTAATCGAGTTACAAAAAAGTTGGTTTGAGCACAGAACCCATGCTTGATCATGAGAACGGTTTCACGAATAGGGGTCCAGGGCTTCCTATCGGAAAATATGTACGTAGAGTGTACGATGGTTTTATATTAAAAAATGGCAGTTTTTACTCTTTTCACTTTTTTTTATTGTACCTCCATTCATTTGAAGACACGTCATACTTCTAAAATACAATTTAGCCATCCTTTTTTTCTGGCCTGCATCTAGTATTAAATGGTATTTGATATGATGCTGTTATTGCTATTTTTACTCTTTTTGTAGTATCACATGTTTGAAGTGAAATGCAAGAAATATTTAATGTAAATGCAAAAGTCAACATTTCATTTAAACTACCCTTAGCATACCTAGAGCCAACACATCGACGATTCATTCAGTGATCTGGCAACATTGGTATTTTAACTTTCAACATAACACCGCCAAATATTTTTCTTGTGTTTCCTCAGGGAAAAAAACGCAGTAGGAAGGTAGGCATTTTTTTTTTATTTTAAAAAATGTTTTACAATGCTTATATAGAGCAGAAGTTCTGACTTTAACAGTGCATATCCTTAAATGCCAATTAAAATTAAGATTACACACAAAACTAAAGGGTAGTTACAATAAGCGGAAACAGGATTTTCACATGTTGATATGTGCAATGTTAAAAGTATGTATGGTTAATCTGACAGCAATATTTAACGTCTAGTCAATGTAATGAGAAATGGAATTGCTCTTAGTTGTTTTGGTGCAGTAAATCTAGTCAAAAGATTATACTAGTGTATCATGAATATATATGTGATTTAACTCATAAAAACAATAACCTTAAGCGATGTGTACATGATCAATATTTCTGTGGTTTCAAATACAAATTTGAGGAAATGTCAGTAGATAGATTGTACAGGGATGTAATTTTAAAAACTGTCAGTAGATGACATTGTATGGTTCTAGTCAATATTGTTTAGATTCTTATACAATAAGTAAAAAAAATCAAAAATCAATACTCCAATGTGATACAATAATCATATCTTTTTACTTGTAGTATGAAAGGATGTTGTTACCTGAGATGGCATTGGTTGCTTTGGGTAACAGTGTTTTATAGGTTACCATGGGTTCCAATATCAGTTTTATACCCAGAGATAGATAAATGACATATATATAAGTTCTGAACTAGAATATGATTGGGAAGTGTTTTCACATTTATTGCGTTTATTCTGTTTGTCAATCTATATTTTATGCAATCATATGATTATCTATGTTCTGCTATATCTATACCAGGAAACTTGAATGATCTCTATCTCTCGTCTGTTTTAGTGTCCGAAGATTCAACCCACATACACGGGTAGCACGTGGTATGGATTGCTTCCCTTGCCTCATAAACCCGTCTTTTCTACAATTAGGCTTAATGAATGTATAAAAATGCATCTAATTTCTTGACATGAAATTGTCGTATAACGAAAATTAGAAAGATATGTAACTTGATATGGTATAAAAGTATTTACAGACATATATGTAACGAGATCGGAATAAGATAGTACCTATACAGCGTCACATAATAAGAAAATAATACAGTAATATCCCCTCTACTCATCTGCACCGACCACTATCCGAAAATACTTTCAATTACTCCAAACTACTAGCTACATTGTCGTTTGTTGCAAATAGGTAGTCATACATGTAATTTGTCTTGTGAGGAAGAAAATAAACAGCGCGATTGATGTTATGTTTATTTTTATTAAGCACTACTTAAGTGTCCACAGAGAAGTCTTATATCAATACACAGGTAAACAAAATCCGCAAAAAAATATACAAATGTGACTCATAAACCGCTGAATATTTAACATGTTCTATACACTTCCAGCTTCTATGTCTTATTGCAGTATACCTGTATCTTATATTAATTAACTACTTGCATATTGACAATAATATGAGAAAACTGTTCAATCAATATAATAAAAAAAACGCGCAAGTATGGAATACACTATACCAATATTGACGAACTGGGCCAATATCGATAACGCCCAAATCGAACGCACGCTATATAATTCGGAACATTTCTATACTTATCGGCGATGATTTCCTTCACCTTCCGTAACGCTTTATTGCCAGCAGCAGAAGACGACAAACCATGGATGTAGTGAGCATCCGACAGCTCCGCCAAAAACGTGAAGACATGCTGGCGGTTTAATGCAAGACTTTGCTAGATACGAAGTGTTTAGCGAGCATAATATTGCTTAATGATAATTTGTACTACATACTCAATGGCGAATTCTGAACTTCAAGGTTGTCTGCCCTTTTCCCTGTTCAGTGGTGCAGGTATCTCAGGAGGTACCATACATATCAATGTAATGTCTCCCAAGAAAAAAGCGAATTACAGTCAGTATATGTCTAATTAACAGGAAGAATAAAATCTTCCCACGGTTCGCAGTAGAAGCGGGAATAATTTGTATCGTGCGGCACGAACAGCAGAACGCTGTCACGTGTTCTCGGGTACACGGGTCGTAGATGTTGTCAGCGTGGTCATTTCTAGTCGCCTACTCGGGACGTACGGTTCATTTTCAGTGGAGCGCGACATCAACTGAACAATATTTTGAAATAACTTATTAAATTTGTTGAATTCAAACAGTTTAGTTTTATCATTTTAAGATTATAAACTGCCAATGATATATAAGTAGTTAATAAATAAAAGTGTCATTAATCAGCTAATTCCACATTGACCAAGTTATAAGGCCTCGGTCTGTCACATTGGCCCTCGGCCTGCGGCTTTGGTCAATATGACAGACCTTGGCCTAATAACAAGGTCAGTATGGAAATAGCTGATTAATAACACTATAGTTAAATTAAAAAAATAAAACATCAAGTATTTAATATGTAAATTTCCTAAAATATCTTCCACTTACAGATATAAGAAAAGAGGAGAAACCCGAACCAGTCAATTATCTATTTGGCGTCAAAATAAAATCCGGAATTATATTTACGACAAGGCTTTCAAATTAAAACCAGAAGTAAAGGCCAAATACGACACAAATAACAACCATTATCGGGAATATTATGTAAAAAAGACTTTTGTCAATGAAACGCATTATGTCCTCCTTCCTCACAGTCTTTTGTAGTTCTTCATCTCCGTGAGAAATTGTCTTTTCAGGTGCATTACCATACTCCATCACCTGGACAATTTTGACTTTATTGACGTCATCTACTTTATTGATGCTATTGGCTTATTTGTGAAATGAATTTCGAGAGTCTAACCGCAACAACCATCCAGGGAATATGCGTATATCGGTCACAGCCTCACAGCGCATGGTGAATATCGTCAACACGACCAGCTGACAACTGTATATCTGAGCCACGAGGAGGAAATAGGAAATCCCTGCCATTGGATCTGAAGCCTTTGGCATGTTTTCTCCAATAAGCGTCATAAATACGGCCAACGACAGGAACATGGTGATTGTGTAGGAAATCCGCTCTCCTGAGGAGGCGGGCAAGAGGAACACGAATGGGTTGAGAAAGCAAAGAAGTAGCACTGGTAAAGTCATCGATATAGTAAAGTATGTAGAACGTCTTGTCAAATGTATAGAAAAGTCTAAAATAGAAAAGTAAGATCCGAAAACAGTGTTGTTTGTGACTGACGTCCAGTCAATATCCCACTCCCCATTTGGTTTATAGTAAACCATGTTCATTTGTGGTCGTGCTATGATGAACACCATCTCAGAAGCTGCGAACATCCATGAAGCAATCTGCATGACACACGTTTGTGAATCAGTCGGAAACCTGGTCATGTCGAAGCTGCAACTAGCCTTTACATGTCGACCTGGTGACGCAAATACCGTGCCGTTAGAATTCACCCTTACGTCGACAGCATCATAGGATATATCCGACAAATCGTCAGAGGATGTTGTAATGTAAATTCGAGGTTTCCACACATTTGACGAGTTAAACACGATAGAGGTGATACCGAATTCGCTGGCGTCCCAGGCAAGGCGGTAATCAGTCCAAAACAATGCGATACCACAGTTAAGGGTGATTGTTCCGGTCACCTCGTCAAGGTCTAAATAGAGATCAGGACCATATCGAGTGTCACGTGTATCGGGTCACTCATGTTATAAACAGGCCGGAAGTCCTTGGTGTAGTTCTGGAACAGAGTATTCTTCAGTCTCACCAAGTCATCCATGGTACCCTGTGATAGGATGACGTCACAGCATATCACAAACAGAAGCAATACAAAAATCCTTCCCATGTTCAGTCGTTTAAAATGTTTATATGCGTACGTCAACTGTAACAGAAACGCCTACATAAATACGTATTTAAAGAAATGTGGTATCCGATTTGAAAGCATTTTGGGAAGGCAAACAGAGAGATTAACACATTGTTATACGTGTTTATGTAGTTTGTAGAAATGTCGACATTCCAAGCATAATAAAATCATGTAACATTTTTACTCTTTTTCTTTAAACAATGTGTTATGAGTAAACTAGTTGCACGTGAATCAATTTCTACATATGTTTACAATTAAAACTAGAATATCAACTTTAAGGCAACGGCGTTGCATGTTTTTCAACACTCATATCAAGCCCATCCATGTTCAGTCGTTGAACACGTTTATATACGTGCGTCAACTGTAACAGAAACGCCTTCATAAATACCTGATTACATATGCATAGCATTATTTTAAAAAAATGTGGTATCTTATTTGAAACCATTTTGGAAAGGCAAACAGAGAGATTACCACATTGTTATACGTGTTTATGTAGTTCGTAGAAATGTCGACAAAAATGTCGTGAAAATTATTTCAACTATCATAATAGTCTGAAGAAAATAACAACAAAATGTCGATTTACACATACATGGACGTAACAGCCCTCCTCCTCACCTGTGGTCACATTGGATTATGATGTGTTGTACCTGATCAAGGTCACATGATGTGATTTCAATGCAATTAAGTCCATGTCAATTAATCCATTTAATTGTCTATCCACCACGTACAGGTGTATACAGGTAAATCAGTTGTTGAATTCCAACTCTAATACATAACACACTTTTCAATATCAGATTATTGGAAATTATGATATTTTTCAGTAATCATTAAAAAATCTTTATGAAGATAACTTAAGTGTCATCATTGTCATCATGTGAACTCTTAGAAATCTAGAAATCTGTTTTGTATCAATATATTACAATACGTGTCTCCCTATGCAAAATGTAGTAAGTTTGTAAACGGAGTGCCTTTTTTCTGTGTGTGGTTATTATAAAAGTGTCAAAAATCAGTAAAGCGGTTCCGGGCTAGTGTAACTATGAATTTACATGGTTCAATGAAAAAAATATTTGACCCTTTTCAGCTGACCAATTAGTACCACTTAGTGCCTTAGCAAGTTACACAATGGACAGTATTGATCAGAGGCTGGGATTAACATGGCCTAGGGTATATTTGGGAATATTATATTAACGACAACAAAATTTATTAATTAATTAAAGAAAGGTTTATTGAGGTTTTTAGAGAAGAATGTGCAGAAAACATTAAAGTATCCTCAAAAGCAAATGTTTATAGATATAATATTTACGATCTTTTGATCGACAAAACTACCTGCGTAAACCCATATCAAAAGATAAAAAGGGCGATATCAAAACATTGAAACGTCGAGTGTAATGTTTGTAATCTAGATGATGTTGAAGATGATTTTTTTCTGATTTGCGAGCAATTGTTTTGAAAACTTGTTATATTAAAAAGCCAAGCATGATTAAATTAAAAGGACTACTGAGTGTGAAAAATACAAAAGAAATAACGAACTTACGGAAATATGTACAATTTGGAATTTTGAGAAGAACCTAATTATTATAAATAGATATAGTTGCACGCGCTTGTAATTGTGTTGTGAGTGTGTGCAATGTTGTGTAATATTATTTTGTACTTGGCACAGTAAATATCACAAATTTTGTTACTTTGTAACTGGTGAGTCGAACGACTCAAAGTAATAAAGAACTTGAACTTGAACCTGGCGATGAGGCCATGTACATGTATGACAAAATGTAAAATATTATAGGACTTACACTTACATGTATTGAGCACAGATAAACCAAATTTTATGTAGTTTTGCCACTCATCTATTATGTGTTGTCTATAAAAAGGCTGACAACGGTCAGAGATGTATACTTTTTCACTTGCTTGTGTGTGCGGTACCATTCCCTATCACCAGTTTCATAAAAACATACTTAATTATGGAAACTCCTTAACTTGAAATTTCTGGAAAATGAAATCATCTTCCCTCAACGCCAATAACGTTTTCATGTGGAACTAGAGAGAAGAGATTGTGTGTTATAAATGAGTGATAAATGTTTCTATCAAAAAATAAATCCCCCTACCCACACCCTTTTACTTGGCTCTACTCTACCATGACTAATTACCCTTGGACCCTGATAAAGAGGCTACAATGTATCGCCCTAAGCCAAACCCTCCTTGATCGACGCCTGTTTAGTTACAAACTGAGAAATAAATATATTGAAGTTTGACTGTTGTCTCAGTGCCTATGTTATCTGACATCAGACCCCTATACCCTCCTCTGCAGTACACCCCCCTCAGGGTTGGCCAGACAGTCATAGTTTCTCCAATACCAGGATTCAGACAGGTCAGATTCACCTGTAGAAAAGTCAGTATATATACCTACATTGTTTATGATCGATAAAGAAATCCTATTTTCGTATTAAAACCAGAGTAATTAGTCTTTTATTCGGTAAGCAGGTGGACATATTTCTGACCAAAACTTATTATTATTATCTGTGTGTCGCGTTGATCTGTTAGCGTACGTCCGGTTTTTGTGATGGATATATTACATGTACCAATTTTAATCGATATTTATCTTTATAAATCACGAGACGTTTCTGTTTGTTTTACACTCATCCATTATGCAAACGAAATGGCAAACTTTAAAACATTCTTATGTGCCTCCTCGCAGCCTACAGTTTACTGACGTTTCTTCCTATGCATTGTGGGTATATTCGCTTCGTTTTTAGATATTTTATATGTTTCCGTTTTTTATGTTAACCCTTTCTTGTCACCGCAAACGATTCACCGTGTGTAAGCCTCATCCGTAGCACTTCCGTACCGCTTGAGTCAAAGGTGGATCAGCGAACGTGTACGGGTATGTAGTTGTACTTTGCTCAATATTTAGTGCTCGACCTTAATTACTTCCGAGAGTGAATAAATGTTATGCATTTTGAGCAGACGAGCAGCGATGCTACATTAATATATCTAAATCAGTATAGCATTGCGGTTACACAACCCTACGTACGTCACTGTATCAATTCACACGAAAGAGGTTCCCCTTGGAGGTTCAGGGAAAGAAAAAACCTCTTGCATCCAGCTGCATGTCGTTAGAGGTGTTTTATGTTGGGCTCTTTACAGAATCATGGGTTTGTAATGTTAAAAGTTGATGTAAACTAAAAAAACAAGTTTTATTGTAGATCAACTACTTCTCTGTGATATGAAGATTGACGTCTTTTATGATGCAAATATAAGTGCCTTGTAGATTTGATGTCACTGCCTGAGTTAACAATGTGAGAACGCGACATTACTTAAATTCCACTTAGATTTACATGTCGGGTGTCATCGATGAAGCAGAATTCGTTTACACTTCCGGAACACTACGATCGTATTTTCCTTGTACTTCTTTATGGGTTTAACTATAAATATTTCCTTCCCTCATGTTTTGCCCTAGTTTTATCGATTTTGTGTTCAAATTATCGCCTTCTTGACACTTCATTATATTTTCTAGGGTTGGTTCTTGATTTTTGCAGTGCTTATAAAGTCAGCCAAATATTACCTGAAAAGAAATTAAAATATATATTATTTTTTGAAAGTTTTAAATTGTTTTTAAATTCAGCATATCGTTTTTAGGTCATATTGTATATAAGAATAAAACAGCTTAACCAATAAGAATTGGTTGATTACACGGGTGGGGCAGTGGCTAAAGCACCTTCCATTTCACCAAGTTGATAGGGGTTAGATCGGACGTAAAAAGGTTTGGGGTCACCTGCCACGCGGGTACTCCGGTTTCCTCCCAGATTAAAACCTCCGAGCTTTAGTATCCGGGCCGGCCAACAAATTTCATCAATAGAAGTTGAAATAGCTTGTGTCATAATTATTGTATTTTATTTTAAAAAGGTGAACCTTTACCTAGCAAAAATAACTAAATGAAGGAAGCATTGATGAGGAGAATTTTAAACTTTTAAATTGCGATGATGAACTCTTTGAAAAAAATATTATCAATATAGTTCGCTAATAAGTCTGGATATATATTTTTGTATCTAGCAGACAATATACAATATATAGGCCATACATACAAAATTTCATGTAAATCGGTACATTAATAAAAGTTTTATTAACAAATATGCAAAAAAAGATAATAAAACGTCACACACACAAAACAAATTCAATTTCTACCCAAGAAATAACTGCTCTTAGAAATGCCGATTGCTTTATGCTCGATGCTCTCTTTGGCACAAGCAAGATACATATACCTTAGCGGAAAGCATTAATTTTCATCCGTTTCTTATCACATTATGTACTAAATATGAATAGCTTCACTCTAATTTTTATCAGAACGTCTTTAGTTCAATTGCTAAACCTGAACTGCCAAATGACCATCCCGAGAGAGAAGAGATACGCTGTAAAGTAATCGACAGTCGCTAGCCTCTGATCACTAGAGACTTAGAAGACTTGGTTAAGCGTGATATATTGACACACGCATCATATATATTTGACTTGAAATTATATATAGAGACTTTAATTAGCGCAGTCAGCGTTGAGCGCAATATTTCAAGCATAGAAAATGCGATCTTCTTGATTATGTTCATTTACAGTTTGTCATAGAACAAAAGCATGAAGGCGAAGACATATTTAATCTAGATATTGAGGAAAATGAATATGTGCGTCTATATGATAGAGAAGAAGATAAAAGAAAACTGGTCATAATAAGGGAACACTATCTTGATTGGTGTTTTCATTTAAAACTATGAAGACACATATTCACAGTACCTAATTTCAAAGAAATCTATTTCTAATGTATAATAGTTAAATATTATCTACTGATGATGTCAACTTAATACCAGTAATAAAATATGAACACCAACGACGCAACAAAAGTCATAGACAGTGTCATACAAAAGAGACCTTTGTCAATAAAGCGCATCACGTGTTCCTTCTGTAAACAACGTCTCAGTTCATCAGTATCATTATATGTCTCCTCGTCTGGTCTCATAACATCACTGTCACTCGTGTCATTTGTGCTCATTTTGTTTTCTTTACCGGATTTTGGATATTCTACACGGTAAACAATCTGGAGAAACCAGAGAGAGATTTCACGAATATCGAACATAGCATCACAGCGTAAAGTGAATATCGTCAATAGGATCAGCATGCAGCTACCTAGCATAGCCCCGAGGAGGAGATAAGATATCCCTGCCATTGGATCTGACACCTTCGGCATGTTTTCACCGACAACTGTCATATATACGGCCAACGACAAGAACATGGTGATTGTGTAGGAAATTCTTTCCCCCGAAGAGGCTGGAAGAAGAAACACGAACGGGTTGAGGAAGCAAAGAAGTAGCACTGGTATGGTCATTGATATGATAAAGTATGCAGAACGTCTTGCAAGGTGAATTGAAAAATCTATTATCGAATAGTAATGTCCCAAATCAGTGTTGTTTGTGACAGACGTCCAGTCGATATCCCACTCCCCATTAGGTTTATAATGAACCATGCTTATGTGTGGAGTTCCTATGATAAATACCATCTCATAAGCAGTATAAGTCCACGACGCAATCTGCATAACACCCGTTTGTGAATCTTTAGGAAAGTTTGTCATATCGAAACTGCAGCTAGCCTTTACATGTCGACATGGCGAAGATGTTACTGAGCCATTAGAGTACATCCTCACGTCGAAGGCGTCGTAGGAGAAATCCGACAAATCCTCGGATGATGTGGTAATGTAAATTCGAGGTTTCCACACGTTTGATGCATTCATCACAAAAGAGGTGATACCGACGTCGCTTGAGTTCCAAAAAAGACGATAATCCGTCCATGATATCGAGACGACACAATTCAGTGTGATTGTCCCAGTTACTTCGTCCAGATCTAAAATAGAGACCAGGTACATATCAAGTGTTACGTGTATCGGGTCACTCATGTCATAAACAGGCCGGAAGTCCTTAGTGTAGTTTTGGAACAGCGTATTCCTCAGTCGCACCAAGTCATCCATCGTGCCTTGCGCATGTGCACTTGATATGATGACGTCACTGTACATTACTAAGATCAGCAAAAGGCGACATCCTACCATCTTCCGTCGTAGGTAGATATCTGTAGAAGTGGATCAGCTGTAAAAGAAGCAAGAACATAAAGTTCATGTTCACTGATGTCTAGGCCATCGAACTGATTCCATATGTTGCGTGCATAGTCAGAAGTAAGTGTACTCTCACACGATGTTAAGATTATGTAAGTCTCTTTAACAAATGATGAAGTGATAATTGTAACTTGCACAGCGGACAACCTGGAATCTCATAATGTTGTTATAGATTCGGTTTTGTTTTGGATTTACTTTTTAACGCCATTTAAGCTGAAATTAAATGTGAGAACCACAAACAAGAGTGCAACAGACAGGTATGTTTAGCAATAATATCAACTTATGCTATTTCGTTGACATCTCATTGAAATAGCCTTATAATTGTGTAAGTTCTTACAAGATATATAAANTGTTGGTTTTGTTTTGTTTTGATCTGTTTAAGTTGTACGTCCTATTAACAGCTCTGGTCATTTAAGGACGTGCCAGGTTTTGGTGGTGGTGGAAAGCCGGAGTTCCCCGAAAAACCCCACCGACCTACGGACAGTACCTTGCAACTGCCCCACGTAGGCCTCGAACCCGCGACACAGTAGTGGAAGTTAGGTGTTAGCATAATTTCAGACGCTTTTACCACTTGGCCGCCGCGGCCTTGGAGTGAAAGACGTTGACTTTGGTAATCGCAAATATGTTAATACACAATGCTAAATATGCACTTGTGTTTAAGGTGGCTCAACACATCGTCATCAGCGTCCATTATCGTGACGTACTCCGGAAAAAGTACAGCTCGGACTCAGTTATCTTGATCGAAATGTGCATGTACACTGAGTCGTCATTTCCGTATTGCGTATCGGGAATTTAATATCGTAGTGCAAATTATAGTAACACCTCGGCCGTTTTCGTTAAAATGGTCAAACCGATCGGACCACTGTTGTTCGTTTATTACAAAGTACAATTTTAAGTTATCAAACCCGAGATCAATTCACCAAAATCCACCGATCCGACGAACACTCTTGTGACGCCAAGATAGAAGTAACCATAATTGACAGGAACTAGTGTCATCTAACGTAACAATAATGTCCACGCCCTGAATGCTGTTGATTTCTCTGTAATCGCCCTCCAGATCGACACAAAGTACGTCACTACAACCACATTTACATTTCATTTTTAGTTTAGCATATACGCATAAACTGACATGGTTCCCTGTGTGGTAGTTTAGGATAAACATTTAAAGTAATACAAAGTATGCATTACCAAGTATAATTCCCGAATAAGTTTAGTGTAATTGATCAAACAGCCAAGCCTAGCTACTGTTAGAGTGTTTATGATTCTCTGCCATTCTGCTACCACTTTCCCTCCACCACTGTTGTTGGTTCGAGGCCTACGTGTGAACAGAGGTGAGGTACTGGCCGTAGGTCGGTGGTTTTCTTCCGGGTACTCCGGTTTTCCTACACCACTGTTGCGGGTTGGAGGCCTACGTGTAAACAGAAGCCAGTTACTGGCCGCAGCACGGCTTTAATTGACCATTTCTGTTAAAAGAACGTAAAACACAAACTAAACCAAATCTCTGGTGTTTATGATCCATCACTCAGTTCCATGTGTTGTCATTATGATATGTATTAAATGTACAACCTACATATAAAACGTATAGCTTTTTTGTATGAAATATAGCACTATGTGTCCGTTTATCACTCTTTTAAAAGACTATTATGGTCGCCATCAGGATCTCGCTGGGAACTATCTTTTGGCTGTATGTTAAATGTAGGTTGATGTTTTTGATAATACTCATGAGTGTGCAGTCTGGTTACGTTGTCACTACCCGTGTTCTGGAAGTGAGGACGTGACATTACTTGGATTTGGCTTAGATTTACATGGCGGGTGACATCGATGCAGCAGAAGATGCCATCACTTCCGGAACACTTTTGAGTTCGAATTATGGTTTTGTCATTTCGGTATTCTCAACTGTTGCAGGTCCAGCACTCAGTTTAAATAACTGATGATTGGTTATGTAATGGCAAAGATTAACTTAAGTGTAATAATACCGCAACATCATAAGCATCATTATCATGGTAAACATATCATTATGCTTAACCTATATCATTACGGTTAAACACTAAATTTCATCATCAACATTTCATATGAAATATTAAACTTCTTAGAAGTATCCACAAAATTGAGATACCTACAGATTTCTGTATAGTTTAAATAAACTTCTGACTTAATTTAATTTTCTTCAAAGTCTATCTCAAATATAGATGTCAACCAGAAATTCAATTTCTTAACATTAAACAAGAATCCCAATTGTGTATCAATAAAAAAAGAATGTGCAAATGACGTCACTAACAAGAAACTACACAATGTTAAATGTATATATGTTTATCTTGAGTGATTTTTTTGGTCATTATAACGCACTGCCTCAATGCAACAAATGACTTGAAAAATATGATGGCATTCATGCATCAATCAATAACAGGCAACACATAAAATATACCACGTAGCTACTTTAGGAATTATAAGGGTTATTTTGGGGGTTATATGGTATATACCGGAAAAAAACCTGTATGCACTTTGCAAGGCGGTTTATGCGCAAAAGTGCACACATTTTTGGCAATATATATATTTATGTTCATGTACCGTATAACCCAAAAATTACTCATGGTAATCCCTAATAGTTTCATTTAAAAAGACAGACATCTGGTTAATGATAAATGCATTTTTTATTTTTATACATTTAAGATGAAAAATAAAATTAATTTGCACAAAACACAACATTGCGCAGTAATTTCATCGCAGAGCAACTTCAACCAATCAAAGTTTAGAATTGTAAATACCGCGCAAAACATTCCGGCATACGACGTAATGATATGTTGCGCAGATAATTTATCTTAGTTTAGAAAATATTCAAAAGAATGTAACAGGATAAAACGTCTAGCATTCGGGACAAAATTCAATTATACTTGATTAAAACAAAAGAATAGAGACAGAAACTCCCAAAATTGTATAGAATAGTATAAATAGTGTTGTTTTAACACGTGTTTGCAAATAAGAAAATATACAAACATGCAAACGTACATCCCTTTTTCAAAAAATAGATGTATTCTCTACAATCAAAATCATTGTTGTAACGGCAAAATTATATATATTTGCTTTATTTGCTTTATTTCCGTAGTCTTTGATTGGCTGAACTCGAGATATTTATGCAACTAGAAAGTGGGTAAAACTAGTGCTCAGCTTTTGCATGCATTTATTAAATATTGTGCGCCGAAATACTGTCTACATGACTCTTGTCCTGTAAATGTTACCTCTACTTGTCAGACTGTCAGGGGAGTAGACCGCCCTTATATGACCATAGCTGTTGATAGGACGTTAAACAATACTAAACTAAACCAGGTGAGTAGATATGACGTTGATGCTAAGTGTCAACGTACGACTCTGACACGTGTTAGACACCTACGTTTGTGTATACAAACAAACAATACAAAATCATTTCCTGTACTGCTACTTACTTACTCTACGGAGGGTTTAACTAATGATCGTCTGACTTATATAGACCCTTTCATATGTATTATCCTCAAAGCATTACTGTATACTCAAACAATTTAATGTGTCGCTACGTTTCAGTACCTCTCAATCCCTTTGTCCCTATAATGATCCTCGGATAAGTACACAAGTAGAGGTATTTATCGTCCCTACAGTACATTTTCATGTCGCCCAACATTCGATACGTAACATACACATCTAAATTGCAGAATGGTTATTGAATGTGGGCGAATATTATCACAAGCCCTTTTCCACTAGGTCATGAATTCGAAGCCTACGTGAAGCAGTCGCCAGGTACTGGCCGCAGGTAGGTGGTTTTCCCCGGGGTACTACGATGTCTCTTCATCACCAAAGCATGGCTCGTCATTTAATAACCATAGTTGTTAATAGTACGTAAAACACAAACAAGCAAGACATGTATATCTAGCATGCCTTTTTTCCTGGAAAAAAAATCCCTCTCTCCTCAAAGTAAACAAAATTCTGATATACTTAATAACTTCTCGCAATCTCACTAGCCGCATCCTACATACTAGGCCACTTCTGAAGAACTCCTGTAGACCATGACAAACAATGATAGACTTCCGTGACGATAAGTATTTCAGATATTAATCTAAGAAAGTGATACAGTACTGACCGAAACAAAACTTCGCAATCACAAAAGTATTGTATCTTTTTTATGTCCTATTCATTAATAAGTTTCCTTTTGGAGATATACCGAATCATTAGTTAGGCCTCTTATACTGTTTCGAAAAATATTGCTGTAGCAGGATTAAGATTAAGTATGTTATATTTATGTGTGTTTCGCTCTAACACATTATCAAATGATAGATATCTACCCCAATGAAAAGTTTACAGTCATTGACAGCTTTGTACATCGGTAAATACTGACCGAATCATTGAGAGACTTGAATATGATAATAGCAAAGTTGGAATTATTGAGGGGGGATGTATTAATATATGTAATTACTAGATTTGCTCAATATTCCTTGAGAGATATTCATACCCCATCGTCTCTTTATGGACAAAACCACACCGATCAATATCTTAATTCAAATAATTTTGATTATCAAGTAGTGATTCGGACGTTAACTTTTTACCCTTAATTACAAATAACTTGGTCTTTATATCTTTTTTAAATATTGCATCATTGTACAAACCCTTTACCTATTATATGTTGAATTATCTACGATATATAGAGTTACATACCACCTGCATGTTTCATCCTTTTTCAAAGTTTTGTTCATCTTTTCTATATCTGAAATCTAAAACGCAAATATAGTTCTTCAGTGTCTATATTGATAGAGAAAATGTCATCTTGAACATTATATGTATCTAGAGCACGTAAACATGAGATTGTTCATATTTTAGGTGATAATCTGTTTCGAAAGAATAATGCCATCCGATTTAGGGCGAACTATGCATCACTTTACACAAAAAAAATCGTATTTTAAAGCTGAATCTTGTTCAGTACTATTAAAAATATCAATGTTTAAAAAACATACTCAAAACTGAAGTTTTACCTTCAACCTTTTTATTATACTATTACAGATTTGAGGGACACTTTGCCTAGTGCTATTGAATAATTGTTTCGTACCTCAATATATTGATAGTTACTTGAAATATAACACAAGTGGTCACCTCTTTATCAAGCGTTACGTAAGGAATTTAATTTTTTGGTCGTCACTTTTCCTTTCCTCAGCACTAACATTAAGGTAATTTTTTAAGTATTGACGTAGCTTCAACACTTCATGACCTACGAAAGTTGTCCTGGATACTGGAGTCACTTTGGCCAGTAAAATAGTGTGTCAGAATTTCGAACCTTAAAATCGTAAATCTATATTGGATATGGTTGCTATAAAAACTGTTGTTCTAACTTCTAAATTAAGTCAATGTTTATTTATTTGTAGTGTCTCAGATCATTTATGAACGACACGATTCCTTGTTAGCAAAGAAAAATCATAAAGGTTGTCACATGTGATAGAGTCAATCTTTACCGAACCGCATGATGTCACTTCCGGTTCATAACAAAATTTATGTTTAAGCATCCCTTGTTTCTGAAGTTAATTGTCATTAAAGACTGCTATTTTGTGATGAGGCTGATATAGGAATCTTTGTTTATTTCTATTCTGTTCTTGGTACAATAAGCACGAACTGATACTATTAGTTACACAGTTTGTTAGTGACCTAATACGGACAAATATTGGGTCTAAAAGAAACTTGTATCGGGCGAGGCGAAGCCGAGTTTCTTTTAGACCCAATATTTTTCCGTATTAGGTCACTAACAAACTGTGTAACGAATTTATCCCGTCGAAGGCCCTTTGGATAAAAAAAACTGCAAAATAATACAAAATTCAACATTTATTCCAACAATAACAATTTTAACTTTCACCCGCTTTGTTAACATTTCATCAGCTGTCGTCTGCACAAACCGCTTGGTGGCCATCTTGTTACAAGTTGACTCTTATGGGCAAAGAACGATCACTCTTTCGTACTCACCTAATGTAAGATTCTACTGACCTAATATGAAAATATACTGGATATCATGTGACGTCGTTTTGACCAATAGGACTACAGGATTTTTGCCTGAGGCGAGATAAAAATGTACATCAAGACAAAAACTATTCAAGAATTTCAGTTAAATTAAAGCCAGAAGTATACACCAAATCCCAAACAAATGAAAACTATCATTACAAATGTTAGGTAAAAAAGGCTTTTGTCAATGAAGAGCATAACGTCTTCCTTCCTTACAGTTTTTTGTACTTCTTCGTCACCGCTATTTATTGTCCACTCAGTTGCCTTATCATTCCCCATTACCTGAGCATTTATGACTGTATGAGCGGCGTCAACTTTGTTTGTATTGATGACTGATTTGTGAAATCCTAGACGGAACACAATCCGTAAAAACCACCCAGGGAACATGCGGATATCGGTCACAGCCTCACAGCGCAGGGTGAATATCGTCAATAAGATCAGCAGGCAACTGTAAAACATCACCAAGAGGAGGAAATAGGAAATCCCTGCCATAGGATCGGAAACCTTCGGTATGTTTTCTCCGATGAGCGTCATATATACAGCCAACGACAGGAACATGGTGATTGTGTAGGAAATCCGCTCTCCTGAGGAGGCGGGCAAGAGGAACACAAACGGGTTGAGGAAACACAGAAGAAGCACTGGAATAATCAGGGATACGGTGAAGTATGCAGAACGCCTTGTCAGGTGCATAGAAAAATCTAGCATAGGAACGACGTAAGTGTTGTCTGTGACCGATGTCCAGTCGATGTCCCACTCACCGTTAGGTTTATAGCTAGTCATTCCAATTTCTGAACGTGCTATTAAGAATAACATCTCAGAAGCTAAAAACGCCCAAGAGGCAATCTGCAAACTACACGTTTGTGAATCTTTAGGAAAGTTTGTCATATCGAAACTGCAGCTAGCCTTTACATGTCGACTTGGTGAAGATGTTACTGAGCCATTAGAGTACACCCTTACGTCGTAAGCATCGTAAGAGAAATCCGACAAATCCTCAGATGATGTTGCAATGTAAATTCGAGGTTTCCACACGTTGGATGCGTTAAATACGAAAGAGGTGATATCGCCAAAGTTGCTTGGGTTCCAGGAAAGACGATAGTCTGACCATGATATTTTGACAACACAGTTCAAGGTGATTGTTCCGGTGACTTCGTCTAGATCTAAAATAGAGATCAGGTACATATCAAATGTGACGTGTATTGGGTCACTAAGGTTATATACAGGCCGGAAGTACATGGTGTAGTTCTGGAACAGAGTATCCCTCAGTCTCAACAGGTCATCCATCGTACCCTGCGCATGTGCACATGATATGATGACGTCACTGTACATTACCAGGAGAAGCGATACGGGAATCCTTGTCATCTTCAGTTGTTGAATTTGTATAAGTAGATCAGCTGTAAATTAGAATATAAAGTACCTTTTGACATTTCTTTAGTACCAATTACAATAACAGTACATGGTTTTACAGGATATCAAACAGACATGACATGCATTGAACTACGGTTAGGAAAATCATGTTTTTATTTCAAAATTTGTAACACCATTCAAGTCTTGATTTTCTCGTGAAAGATGACGGAATAATAATATCACTCAGAATATTTCTTTCATTATAAAAATCTTTTATGAAAAATCAAATGTTTGAAATTTAACACAATGAATATCAGTTAAGTGTTATAGATTTGCATATTTTGGATTAAAATATCCTCAGCGAATCTGGAGGCAGCAACCTTTAAATAATTTTTTTCTAGAATTGCTATTTTAACAATACATTTGCTTTATCAAAAGAAACTACTATCTCAATTTAGAATAAAATTTATATATATCCATTCATACCTTTCTTAATTGACGATTAATGTATCCAAAGCGCTATTTCACTCAACACTCAGAAGAACACTTAGAGGCACGGTAGTCTATTGGTAGGACGCCGGGCTCGTGACCAAAGGGTTGCGGGTTCGAGTTACGGCACGGCACGGTGTTGTTTCTTTCAGCACGATACTTGAATCCGCTTTTTTCAAATCTGCTAAACTGTAAATGAGTACGTGGTTTGGCAGTGCTAGAATTGTTGAATAGTAGAGTTGAGCGCCGAAATGGCAGAACCGGCTGTATACGCCCAAGGGAGTTGAGAAAGATATTGGCTGGTTGCTATAACCACGGATATTAGTTTGTGAAGCGCTTTGAGACGACCTACTATCTAAATTGTGATACAGCGGTATAAAGGAACCTCGAATTATTATTATTATTAAGAATCTTCACGGATAGCTCCCAAAGATACCATTATGCTATCACACGGTTGGTTGTTCAAGAGATTAGTGACCTTATGCTACCCACATCCACAGAATGTTTGTCTATTTATACTTTACTAAATCAATAGGGGCTAATGGAGGCATTATAAAGGATCGGAAACCCTTTGTTAGGTGTGTAAAGAAATATGTCTGACATAGATGCCAACGCAGTGATGGTTTGATTGGCTATAATTGTGTAGGTATTACTTTAATGTCATCTCTATGTTAACATGTACGTTGATGATCGATCGGTTGGTAGTCCTTGTCTAGAGAACGAACCTGTAAAATCGTCTGATTTATTTTCGAAGGAAATGGAAACGGCCAATTCAGAACTGCAATCAGTGATTGTATTCATTTAGAAAGATAGATTACTGTTTGTACTAGATGCAAGCATTGATAAGCTGCTTTCCTTATTTTTTGGTGAAAATATTGAAGAATTCCATAGGAGAGGTTAGCAGGTTTGCAACACTTCAAAGTATTGTTGCCGAATAGTATTAACATGACATATAGCTTGGCCTGTAACTCGTTAGAAGAACGTTCTGCTTTACAAGCAAGAGATCAGCAAATCACATTCCCTTGGCAGTTATAATTGCAATAAATTTAGGTCAGAAAAATGCGAACAAATTGGAACTCAATCACGCTTGGCATACAACATAGAACATTATGGCTCTCTACCTCCACAAGTATCACATCGATTTTACAATGAAGTAGTAACTCTTATAGTGACAAGGCAACTCGGAGCAACAAGAACCCTGTTTAATTGGTCTAGGTATTATACATAATATTGTAGAACTTGCTTGGTTTTGATAATGGAATATATATGGAGAAAGTTGGTCTGTCGTCCATTAATCTATTGTTATTTACCATCGCAAACGTTGTAGAAGTATTCTATATTTCTATAAAACTACAAAAGATGTATATCTTACCTCTACAGATTGCATTCCTTATCTCATAAAACTCACACCATCTCTACAATCCGAATTTATTCATTAAAGTCATTCTAATCAATTGAATCATTGTATACAATCTTTGCCTTGTACTTTCTTAATTCTTTTCAATAAAAACTGTTTAATTCAATCAACCTAGTAAAGAAGTTTGTAGAACTGCAGTTCTCCATGTTCGTAGGATATTAGTTGCGGATCTCAATATGCCTAGAATTTAATGAACTTTACGTGTATCACATGGCAACCTTCTAGACAAAAAATGCATGTTGATCAATATCTGTATTCGAATCGTTTGGAGTATGAGGTAGGGTTTCTGTCGTTGATTTTCCTACCCTAAATTACATTAAAAGAAAGTGTAATGCAGGATTTTCCCACAATATCAACTGAACGTCTTTACCAGGTCTAGCAAGTACGTATGTATTTATTGCGTCATAATAATCAATCTTATTTTTCATATCTCAATTTGTTTATTAGTAATGATTGTGAACAGGGTTTCGAGTGTTTGTTTTTGCTTTTATTTTATTTTTTCTGGGAGGAGAGGGAGTGAAAAAATGACCATTCTACAATTTTGCTATCATTGATATCGACTTTCTACAGTAAACAAGCATTGACATATTTATCCTTACAACTTTTAGGGAGTTTTAGTTTTCCTGAATCAAATAGCTGAGTGTTGTGATCTTTGTTTGCTATCTTCATTACTGTTTTCTACCTTTTAGTATACCTAACTATACTTTTTGGTTCAATGGTCAGTGTTATAACAAACTTATTAATTTATACAATGTATGTGTATTACCTAACTGTATAATGAAGTACTATTTGGAATTACATTTTCAAGCGAAATCGTATTGCAAGATCCTATTTCTATTTACCTGTATAATTGTTAAATATGACAAATGAAATAAGATATTGCTTTTAAAACTTTTAAATTCAAGAGGTCAGCGGATCTGATGCCAATGGCAGATTTGTTTTTAAAAACAAAAATTATGATTATTATATTTCTCTAGTAAAATACACCGCTATATCAAGTTGTAACTCTCAGTCAGAAAAAATGGGTTCAGATATTTTACAGTTTATATCCGTAGGAATGACTAAAATCGAACAAGGAGTAGTGCTGGAGGTTGTACCAGTGTTATATTTTCTCGTGTATCTGGTTTAATTATGATATTCCTCCTAGAACTTGTTCATGATATCACCTCCGTGAGTTTAAACAAGTGCGATACTTGTACTAGTATTAAACTGTCCCTGTGGTCTTATTCCAGTATGATAACCCTACCCCCTGAGTCGTCCTTCGAGGACTTATTGGTAATGCTTGGCACAAAATGATGGGAAATCCTAATCCAGCTCTAATAGAACAGAACGAACACTGCTTGCCTGCAGGTTCGTATTGTACTTGTGATTAACGTTAAGCTTGGTGGTGATGTTATAATGACATCAACAACAAACATTGACATTAGGAATTTGCAGAAGTGATGATACTTTTTAAACTACCGTTTTTATATAAGCAAGCAATAATAAGACCATATTTTTTTATTATTACAACAGAATCAGAACGGTAACACTGACAATTCCTGAAAGATAGATGTTATCTTTATTGAATAAACCTATATGGTTTGTATCCCCCGCTTTCACCGAAACGGGGGATATTAATTTGGGTTCGTCCGTCTGTCTGTCACGCTTCGTTTCCGTGCAATACCTACAACAAATATTAACCGATTTTCTTCAAACTTGCTTACAGGGTTAAATGCCTTACGGGCTCAACCACGTTCGATGACCGCTTTCAGCAGATCCCATTTGGCAGAGTAATGGTCCCTTGAATAACGAAAAACGTCGTTATCTGCCGCGCTACGTTTCCGTGCAATATCTGCAACACATGTTAACCGATTTTCTTCAAACTTGGTCACAGGGTTCAATGCCTTAAGGACTCGACCAAGTTTGATGACCCCATTTGGCGGAGTTATGGACCCTCGAATAACGAAAAACGTCATTATCTTCCGTTTCAGTTCATTAACTCTCGCAAAAAGTATCCGATTGTCTTCATACTTAGTAACAGGGTTCAACGCATTAAGGGCTCGGCCAAGTTTGACAACCACTTTGATCGGACTCCATTTGGCAGATTCATTATCTGCAGTTTCCGCTTAATAACTCTAGCAAATATAAGATAACGCTTTTTTTCTTCGAGCACGACACTCACATGTTTAAACATAACCTCAATAATGTTTACCTACAATATTTGTTCTTCAATTTTTAATTTATTTACCGTGTTTTGTATTAGTTTTTGAGACAATGACGCAACAACCCTATTTTAATAAAATTGGCGCCAAAAATTAACCGTAGTCATATGAGCGTTTGACACAGGGGCATTCTCAACGTTATCCGAAACGAAGTGACAAGACTCTCATTGAAGAAGGGTAATCTATCACGTCATTATTGAACCACGTGCTATGTCACGAGAGCTTTTGCTATCATACTCAAATGAAATGCATTTCTGCTGTTATTGGTTATGTATGTGATTTCTTGACAAATGTTAATAAAAATTAATGGACAATGTGCTTCTTTTTCTTTTTGCCGATGAATGAATACATCCGTGTCATACATGTCATTATATGAAGATCCTTTACAAAGTACAGGGCGAATATAGCTAAATGATCCGGATGAATATGCGTCTCTTGTTGAGATCAGGTCGGCAATCAGAAACCTTTCTTCACCACACGGCATCCTTCAAAACAATGTGTTGAAAGTGTGTCAGACAGTAGTAAAAATTAATCACAGATAGTATAAGGAACAAACTCTTGAAGGCAAATACAAGTTTTCTTTATCGAATTTCGCGGCGTTTTCCGGACATAGTCGAAGGGTTTCGGGTTTTTTTTCCTAAGGGATATTAACGAAACGCTGTATTGCTAGTTTATGTGTATTGACGTTAAGGATTTAATTAGTATATTCATTTTACTTTCGGGTCGACGGAATTTGCCGAAAGAAAACATACCAAACTCTGTAATCAATTTCCATTGATGCTCATTATCATTCTTGTTTGCTTGATCAATTATAGCTATATTGCGTA